ACAGAAACAGAAAAAGATTCCAGAAGTATCACTAGTGCCCTGTATGAATCAGCAAAGTACAGTCATGCAGCCTGCACAAATGTCCATGTCATACATTTCACTTTAATAGAATTCAGAGGAACAGCAATGTGTAACTATTTAAAGAACTCGTGAACCACACACAATGCAGACACCACTAAAGGACATCTAACCAGTCTAGCTTGCTGAAGAAGATCACAGTCAGTAAAATAAAAACATAGTAAGATTACACACAAGAACACAGACTTTGCATTTTTGGACTGCAAAATTCAGTGTTAGTCAAACAATACAACATGCAATGACATGACATTAGAGACTTTGTCCTATAGAAAGAGCCCACACAGAATATGCAGAAAGAGGGAATTCCTGGAAGAGTGTTTCAATAGGTTTGAACTGCAGCAACCATCTCCATCAGGTCCTGTGCTGAACAGTATTACACAGCCAGGGATTTGGTATTTTCCAAGCAGGGATATTCAGTACCAAGAGACAAATAAATAAATAGTTTACCACTTTTCAGTAGTTATAACCTGACACTGTATTTCACTACCGTAGCGGGATCTCCTTACAGATGTCTCTGGCTGTCTGTTTTCGGGCAAAGTTAATAAATTTGATCCATAAAATCTAAATTCCTCTACAGAATCACACCAAGAGGTCAAGGCAGCAGGTCTGACGTAGGCAGTGGGCAGCAGAGGCAAGCTGGACTGCCTGCAGAACAGAAAGCCAAAAAAAGTGACTTGTCAATGATAGTTCTGTCTTTTACAAATCATCTGAATAGATTAATAATAAAACATCTACTGAAGCAGATAACCATAAGTGATTTTTATTCCCAAGAACATTTTCAAATAGAATCCATAACATGAGAAACAAAGGATTTCAGAGAAAAAAGGTTTCTGCAAGGGACAGAGTAACACTGTTATGGAGTTCAGCCTAACCTTTCACCAGGGTACATGAGATACAAATTATTTTACAGTGGCATTAAATTAAAGATGCAGATTAGTTTAAAAGTAGCTACATAGTTTGTTAGGCAAATGTGTTCCCTGCCCATATAATTTATTATTCTTAAAATATACACATGAACATAAATGTCACACAAACATCTGTAGCACACCATTTCTATCTTCTTTGGCTCTAAGGAGGGCAGAATATAAAAATCCTGCACGCAAATGCTGATAGAAAATTTTGATAGAAAAATGTAACTCTAACAGAAGAATGATTAATGGCCACACAGGAATTTTCCTTACAATACAAAACTTCTGCTATTATTAATAACCTGCAGCACATATTGAAACAGTTTGCAAACCACACACTATTTCAGCCAGTCCCTGATCGTGGTTTATACGTTCTCTTCTTGTGGCACTACTGGCAATACAGATTTTTGTTTTACAGTGGGGTTTTACTAGATAACTATTTTTATTTCATCAGAAGTGCCCCTCTAACTCTTGACCTTATATTTAAAGCTCAGAAACTAAAGTCAGAATTTTATATAAAAATGGAGACACATTGAGTCATTCCATACATCTGCCCTGAGAGTAAAGTTGAAAAATATTTGTCTTGTTATTAGAAGCATGAATTATCCAAGCAAAGGTGGTGAGAGAGAAAAATTCAACCAGCATGTATAACCAGCCATAGATAAAACAGCAAACATAACCTCAAAATACTTTCTTACTCTCAAAAAAACTGTAGAAAACAGCATTAAATAAGTCAAGAATTACTTCTCACAATTATTCTACTTGGAAATGAAAATAACTGACTGAATGAGCAAATCAAACTGTACTATTTGCGACTGTCTCTGCTCAGATCAATTTTCCCTGAAAATAGCCACAGGACTTAAGTGATCATTACTATGGCACAGATGTCCTTCACCAAGAGTGAGCTGGGGAAGTCTCCAGCCTCAATTCCTGATGTTAGTTAGGATCTTAATATAAGAGAACAAGCACAAAGAAAAGTAATGGAATCTAAAATTATTTTCCTGCCCAGACAAGTCTTTGAGTGAACACATTACCCTGATCTTTAAAGATTCTCAACTCGGATCACACTGCCTGGGAAAGAGGTGAACAGTTCTGCCCCTCCTCATAAAGAAAATGGGGAGTATCACATGAAGTTCTCAGGTAACAGGTTGCAAAGAGAACAGAGGAATGACTTATTCACACAAGACATGAAGTGTAGTGTTTATTGACAGAAAACATGGGAGCTGCAAAAACCATACATGGGCTCAGAATTTTTTTATAAATTAAGTATATACATTAAACTGAAATCCGTACCAAACATCATCCCCACTGAAAGACTGGGAGAGCTGACCTAAGGAGTAGCCCTATATGCCTGCCCAGGAAAGAGTGTAAGAATAAAGCACCTGCTGTCAAATACTGTCAGCTGTGGCAGACAAGCAGGGCTTGAAACAATGGTCCTATCATACACCAGGATCTCAGAGCTTTAGACTTCAAGAGAAAATAGCAGATTAAACTCAAATGGCTGTTCCTGTGAAGAATGGTCTTAGGGTTGCCCCCTCCAAAAAACCCCAAGCACACACCACAAACAGAAAGAAACTACAACTACTGCTCCAGACGATCCCTTCCCCAAGAGAAAGATGAAACAATGGTTTGAGACTGTGATACTATCCATAAAATATTTAGCCCTCTAATCATGCCTGAGAAGATAATTTCCTTCCCCACCTTTCACAGCCTTTTTTAAAAGACATCCAAAGAAACAAAAATGGACTACAGAAAGATCTTTTCCATCATCACTGTAATTAAAGCAGGTTGACCATTTTATTCAAATGACAAAAGGCTTCTAGTGACTTGTAAATGACAACTTATACAAAGCTGGGGAAAGTAACACACAATTTCAGGGAAAAAAAGATGCGATATTTAAATAGTTCAAATATGTATTAAGATATTGAGGGGAAAAAAAAACCAGAACAACAATGCCATAACCCTTTTTTGTCATCTGAAAACTCAAAATACTTCAAGTCACTGTCAGTCACACAGCTCTGTACTCCAGAACACAGTTATGAAGAGCACACCACAAAACACCATTCAGTGCTAGAGAGAACATTAAAGGCACAGGCAGAGAACAGCAGTACCTTTAATGTATCTCACAGTCTGCTAATACACAATGCACAGCCACACAATTGCTCAGAAACGTGGACTTTTGAAAGCTTGTCAAGAAAACCCTGCCACCTTCCTCTAACCCAGCAACACAAGCAGGAATCCCAACAATTGTATCCATGGCTGGATACAAGCTAACATAACTTTATCCTAGAATACTTAATCGTTTTAGTAAGCATCACCACCATGCATAATAAATTAAAACAAACAAACAAACAAACAAAACCAACTGAATAAACCACAAAAAGTACGGATTACTACATGGAATCCCGATGACCTTCCCACCCTAAAGGACATTCAGGTTTTTGGTTTTGTTTGGTTTTTTGGTGGTTTTTTGTTTTGTTTTTTACACAAAATGAAAATTTCTTTTCTTTATGTTATTTCCTTGTGCATACTACTGATTTCTTCGGACTAGCACTGTAATTATGGTGAAGCTTCCTTCTCAAAACAGGTTGTAGCAAGACTGTAGGCCCTTTTAAATTATGCAGACTCACTTGGTGAAGATACAGCTTCAAAACATCACATCAGTTCCCAAAACATCACATCCCTCATATATGCAATCTTATTTTTAAAAGACTATGGTCCATGGTGAAAGGAAATTTAGGAAGCAAAGCACGGCAGAGCAGATCTATCAATTGCACAGAGCTTTACCTATCAAGAGTCTTTATGTACTTGGAGGGGTGGGGGGAGAGAGGCAGGAACAGCTACCCAAAACCTTGTTAAACCTTGAAAGAGATGGTACTTGAAGACAAACTGTGCCAACTGCACTCCCCTGCTACAGTTCTGTTCATCTGCAACGCATCACACAAAGCCAGTGCTCTGAGATCAGAACTGAACGTCCATGTTGACAGACTCAGCAATACCAGCATTCTTTTATGGATAAATAATCCAGTTATGCTTCCAAGCACCACAAAATAAATCCCCAAAACAAATAAACAAAAAGCACCAAACATAAACAAAAGCAGGACTTTGTACTTTTCCCTTGAAAAACAAAACCAAGCTATCTGGTATCAGACATGCCTATAGGTCACTGAAAAAAAATTTCTGAGAAAAATATCAGCGTTCCTCAGCACTGCTGGACTTTGAACATGTACACATTAACTTTTAGCCACAACAGGAAAAAATAAATACTTTTCAGGTATCTGACAGAACTTCATTCTCTGTAAGACAAGGATTCAGGCACCTCACAAATAAAGAGCCCTCCTACAATTCCACCCCCCTGACATTACAGAAAAACAAATGTGTCTCTGCTCACCCTGAGAAGAGACTGCTCTGAATCTTCCAGACTTTATCTCACAGTGAAAAACATTCAATACTAAAACCAGACTGAGGCAGTCTGGATTAAACAGAGGGCACTCTATTTAGAACAGTTTCACTGTTAATAACATGATACCTGAAACTCTTCTCGTGCACTTCCAGTATCCCTATTAAAAAAACCCTGAAACACATAAGTAGTTTTACATCAAAATATATTTTTAAAAAAGGTACTATAGCCTGTCCCAAAATTCTGCCAGCATCATGCAATAATCAGTGTTCGTTCTCATTCTTAAAAGAGTATCAGAAATTAACAAAACGGAGTTTGTATTCTGCTAACAAAAACCAGCATTACTGTATTCAGCAATAATTTAAGTCTTTATAAGTCACTGACTGTGTAGTTATCTTTTACCAGTCTCTTTTCAGACGAAGGGGACTATGCACTCAAGCTTGATGAACGCAAAACATAATTTTAATTAATCAGATACGAAGGCAATTGACACTTCTCAATCACACAGCCGCAGCATGCAAAACGCCGAGCCCCCGGAGACAAGTGCTCGGCGAAACCAAGTAACCATCCCACTCAAGAAGCAGCTGTCAAGAGAATTCTTAACTTCCACTTACCTTTCAGTGCACTTCCAGGATTTCGGGATGCCTCCCCGCTTCTCCTACGGAAACAAACACCAGCGCTCCTTTAAGACATACCCACTGCAACCCAAAAGCCAGCTCCTGGCACCAGCCGGGCTTGCGAGCACCTCCGCTTTCCCGCACGGCTTCTCCCGCTGCCGGGGCACGCCCCGAGGGCGGGCACAGAGCGGACACTGCCCGGGCCCCGCCGCCGCTCCCAGGGCAGGGCGGGGGAACGGCTCTCACACAGCACGGGCAGGGGGCGCCGGCCGAGGGCAGAGAGCGGGGGGGACAGGGAGCGGGGAACGGGAGAGGGAGCGGGGAACGGGAGAGGGAGCGGGGAGGGGAAAGAGGACGGGAGAGGGAGCAGGAACGGCAGCGGGAGCGGCGCTGGCGGGAGCACAGGGAACAGTTCGCGCCCCCGCACGCACAGACCCTGCGGGGCTTCCGTCCGTGTCTGCACCGCCGGCAGCGACCGACTCCGGCGGGCAGCCAGCGAAGGGCACGGACCCCGCGGTGCCGGTGCGAACCCAGCCCCTTCGCCCCCCGCCCGGCACCGCCGCCCCCTCACCCCGCTCCGCTCCGCTCCGCCGCCGCCAGACCCGCACCTCAGCAACGCGCCCGCCCATTGGGCCACGCCTCCCGCAACAAGCGCCGCACCGATTGGCCGCTCTCCCGTCAGCGTCTCCTTCCCCTCAGCCCCTCGGCCCGAGCCGGCGCTGGTGGTCCCTGCGCGGGTCCTGCCTCGTCGAGCCGGGGCAGGAGGGCTGCCGGTGGCAGCGGGGCGGGCGGCGGCCCCGCAGCCTCCGCACCCGCGCCAGGCTAGGAGGAAGGATCGGAACGAAAGCTTCCCGGAACCCGCGTGGCTGGCTGCGCTTCCTGTAGCGGCTGGTCCTCTCTCGGCTTCCGCTTCCGGGTGGCGCTGCGTCCTGAGCAGGGTCGCGGAGCGGGCAGGTACCGGGGACGGGACTGGGAACGGGAACGGGCCCTGCCCGCCGGAAGGACCCGTGTGCTAGCTGGGCAGAGCAGCGCAGACAGGGGCGGCTGTCTCTCTGGGCTGTGCCCTCCATGCCCCGCGCGGGCCGCCCCTCGGGCACGGCCTGTGCTGGCCCTGCGGGCGGGGTCGCCCGGCTGGTGCCGCAGTGCAGCCCCCTGGCCGTGCCAGGGCATGACCTCCTTGTAGAGTGGTGAACATTGATAGCAGAGAGGTCTTGTTTTTTTCTGGCAAGGCTGTAGGCTGGGGTTTAATTCGGGGGGGGTATTTTCGAGTAGTGACAGCGTTAATGCTGCTCTCCGAGTTTCCCTCTGCAAGAAGACCCTTTTCGCTTGCCTACAGGGCTTGGAGTCTTCTTCAAGAGTTACAGGCACCTCTGTATTCCAGTCAGTGTTCCTAAAAGTTCAGGACGTTAAATATGTTCTTTGCCACCTGATATGTGTTAAAATGGGAAATCTTGGCTCGAAGAAGTCTCAAGTGCTTTGTGAAAATGGAGACTTCAAAGCTGTCATTATTTTCTTCCAGTCCTTCAGGATCTCCCTGAAAATGTTCACCTTCCCATCGGCCTTGATTGCTGTTTTTAAAGAGAAACTTCATATTTTCATAGTTTCCTAAGGTGTATGTAAATTGAGTGTGTATTTTTCAGCCTCATCAAATGACTGGTAAGGTGCATCTCCTTGCCCTCTCATCTCTCCTGGACCTGTTGATCATCACAGTTACATTTCACTGAACTAGAGGCAGCTGAAAAGGAGCTGAGCAGCCGAGCCTTTGTTCCTCTCAGGTTTTTCTTCAGAGATTGGTGCTCATAGCTCTGCCATACCTAGATTAGAAGCTTTCATTCTTAAGTCTTTTTGACATATTGTGGAAAGCCTGTAAGATAATGGGCCCTGGTGTTGCTGAAAGGGCATTTACAGACATTGGAAGCCATTGGTTTGCTTACACTCTTCTCTGGCACAGGAGATTGACACAGATGCTCCAGGGGTGTTGTGGTGGTGGTGACTTACAACACAGCAACACTGAACTCTGCATGGTTTGCTTTACTGGGTGTAATCACCCACTTCTGAAATGCAGCGTGAAGTCTCTCAGCTCTTTGTTTTACAGAACAAAGCTCTTTGTTCTCTGTTCCTTTGTCTTACCTCCCCATTTTACCTGTACAGGGGATTGTTCTTTGCAAGTGTGTGAAAACAAGACGACGCTCTCTGTGAAGTAACAGACTTTCCTTTTGCTGTAGGTATGGGACATGGAAATGAACACGGCCATGGCCATGGCCACAGCAAAATGGAACTCCCTGACTACAGGCAGTGGAAGATAGAGGGCACCCCACTGGAGGAGGTCCAGAGAAGGCTGGCTAAGCGGGGTCTTAGGGATCCGTGGGCTCGGTAAGTGCAGCAGCCTCAAAAATAACCTTGATGTGTTGTAGCATCAACTGGACCTTGTCATTGCAGATCATTCTTCCTTTGGTAAAAACAGTGAAAGTTGGTTAGAATTTCAGTTAAGTCTTTGTGTACTTTTTGTGTAGAGGTCACACCTTCCATCCCCTTAACCAGTCTCCACACACTGCAAGGCAGCCTTGCCTTTTCGTGATGTTCTGTGATGATACAGCTCAGGCACAGTGACCAATACCTCACCCCCCTCAGTAATACTAGGTCTGCACACGTAAGTAAGCCTGTCCTTCTCTGCAAAGAGACTGTGTGCTCAGATCCTGATGAGAAGGCAATGGAATTGACATTCTGAGTAGGAGCAGCATTCCTCATACACAACAGGAGGCCTTTATTTGAAAAGAAGTGTACTTGTATACAGGGTGGAATTGCATTCAACTGTGCACTTCATTTGGCTAAAAGTGAATGACGTAATGGAGGATCAGCTTTTACCTCTTAAGTTGTCCCACTCTACAGTGAGTATCTCCTCCTTTTTAGATAGAGCAATTCCGGATCATTTAGGAAGCTGTTAAAACAGGGCTTAATGTATTTCTCCCACCTAGTGAATTATGCAATACTTTGCTCAACCACCTTTTCATCTTGGGGAATAAAAATGCTAAATGTCTTGTGCTGTGTCGTCTGTTTCTTCTGTAAGGGAAAAGTTGCATGAGCAAACTATTCCAGGAGCCTTCATAGAAAAGGCTTTACTTCAAATCACTACAAGAAAAACGGAAGAGCAAATAGGTAATCTGTTAAAAAGTTGTTTCATGCTACAACCTCTGGAGGCGTTTGGGATTGACAGAACTTTTTTCCTTCCTTTGAAATAGTTTAAAGCTGTGAACATAAAGTAAAACACACTTCTAATGATGACACAAATCTTTTGAAATATCAGTCCTTAATGAATTTTCCAGGCCAGTATCACATTTATCTTGCCTCTATTTCTGTGGCTTTCCACCTTTATGGCAAATGCACATTAATGTACATATTCAATACAGGATAAGCTTTGTGAAAGATGTCATATTTAAGCCTGTATCAATTAGACCCTATACTGGCATCTAGACAATACACTTCCATGCCCAAATGTTTTCATCCAGAGTCACAAAATCCATCTGCACAAGGGAATTATCTGTGAACATAAATACCTGACCCCCTTGTTTTAAAACTCTGTATCTTCTCCTGGAAGGACAGTTCTGATTTTATTGCTCGGTTCTTTTTCCTTTTCTTAAGGACTTCCGAGTCCTTAGAAGAGATAAACTGCATCCATCTCTATAGGTAACAGTGGTCCTACTACACATAAATGTTGGTAGTCAGCTAGTGACTAACGTTTCAGTAAGAATGTATGTTGACAACAGTGAGGCAAAACAGCGTGAAGTTTGTAAAGATTCCGTAGCTACAGCTAAATACAATCTCTTCAGTCTTTTTTTTTTTTTAATCATCTGAACCTGATATGTTGTATTGTAAAACAGAAAGTGCCTCCACACTAGGATGAGTTTTTTATGTCTGGAAAAACTTTCCTTGTAAGATTTAACTGTGCTAGATACTGTCTAGCACGGTGAGGAGCCTTTGTAGTTAGTCCATTCCATGCAAGGGCTAGTGGGTTCTGATTTTTTTTCACAGTAAAAACAGATGACAACCATTAGAAAAATTTGGGGAGGTGGTTCTTTTCATGTAACTATGATGTTTCCTGGAGTTACTTGTATCTCAAATTATACCTGTAAAGATTTAAGAGTTAATATAGTGAACTTGACTTGTGGTAACTCCTGGTACTTAAATGACAGAACATTCTATAGAGGTTCAAAGTATCTCTAATTGAAAAACCTTCAGCAAGCATTCTTTACAAACAGAGATATTCCTGCTCATGTTTATCATAGTGGCTCCACTGATCTTGGTTTTAATTTTGGTTTCATTTTTCTTCTAGTAATGAAGCCTGGAGATTTATGGGTGGCTATGCAAAACCTGTCACCATAACAGAAGTCTTTACTAGAGGACTCAAGTGGGGATTTGCAGCTTTTGTCATAGCTCTTGGCATTGAATATACACTGTTTCCTCCAAAGAAAAGTGGAGGCCATCATTGAAGATCAAATATGACAACTTAATACTTACTAATTGTAAGCTGAAACACACATAAGCCTGCTGCTCACTCTGTACTTATAATATGCATATTAAAGTCTGTCACAGGCAAAACCGCGTTTGTTTGATTTTATTATACTTTTGTGGAAGGATCAAAAAACACAGCCAGAGCAATTTAACTGACCTTGATCTGGGGGAAAAACAACACAAGACTGCTCTTGGGTTTGCTGTACCACCCTTTAAAGAACAAGGGAAACTATCAGACCAGCTCTTTCAAGCCCTGCCAACATTCTGTTAAATGAAATTGAGAACTATGTTGCTTTTAAGAGAAAATTTGTACTGTATTTGTTACAGGTTTAATAGCTATTATTTGCCAGTAAGTGGTAATGAATGATCTGTCATTTCTTAGATGTATATGTTACTATTCACTCTTATGTCTCTAAATAAAAATACTACCTTAGAACTTTAAAAACTACCCCAAATTGCCTCAAAGTATGTGTGAAAAGACCAAGGCTTATACTTAGTCTTATTGAACAGATAATGAACTTGGCAGGCACTATGCACCAAAATAATCTGCTGTGTAATATCCAGACATTAAAAATTACATTGCTGCCACATTTGCTTAGTAAAGTGGAATAAAATCAACTCAGCACTAACTGTACCTTATCTTAATATGACTTCCAATATACTTGACTGTACTGTGAAAAAGAGATAGAAAAATTCTTTTTTTTCTTTGTTCTGGTGTATTAAGTACATATTTATTTTTACACCTAGAGTATTTTAATACTTTGTTTTAAATGTCCTGGTTTTCCCTAAATGATCTAACAGCTTCTGGAGTGCTTTAAGGATGCCTGGAATTAAGACTACAAAAGAAATGGGCTTGTGGGCAGTATATGTCCACTGCAGTGCTAGGAATTAGAATTGACTGAATATCCTACTGTAAATTTTGTTAAGCCATTAGTAACAAAGTAAGGAGGATATCTTATATCATTTTTCAATCCAAACAACAGGATATCTGTGTCACTAAACAGAAAAGCAAAATTAGGCAAAAAAGTGAGAAACTGTAAATGTCCCTACAAAATTATATATTGTACTTCCATGGTGAAAAAAACAAAAATTTTATGTAACCCTGTCAAAAATTGCAGGTTTACAAAAAAGTTGAAAAGTCCTAGCAAAACATAGCTAATTTTTTTTTTAAATATATATATCCACACACAACCCTTTTTAAGTGAGATAATAACTGAGCTTCATTCTTGGAGCCAATAAGCAACATCTGTTACTGTGTGAGTGCAGCTGTACTATTCAGTGGAGTTTGTCATCTTTGTATGACATTGCTCAAGGCACTGTTCATAGTGCCAATATTGATTTTACTAAACTTTTTTTGCCTAATTGTTTCCTCAAACATTCATATCCAGTTGCGTCATTCCCCAAAAAACAAATCAAGAACCTACTGTGTAAGGTCTGTTGCACAAAATATTTCTATTGTCCCTCAGGCAGTACCATCCAGAATACACATTTTCAAAGGGTGGTATTCACTGCTTGTTTTCTATCTGGGCCCAAGAATAAACTTCCTGAGAGCACTGAATTTTAGATAGCTGTTCAGAAAAACGATTACCAGAGCTAGCATTACATGCAGTAGAATCAGTCTTTTTAAATGTTATAAGCCTCCTTCTTCACTGATAGAGCAAATATATCAAGCATATTCACTGTTAGACTAGACTAGTTTAGGTGAAAGTCATGCATTTATGAATTAAAGTGGTATCATTCAATGGTTTAATAGCCAGATGGCAGTCATTGCCCTAAACAACTGCCTTTAATTTCTGATGAAATATTTTGCCAATATTGTGGAATATAAAAGCGTCTCATCGTTATAAGACATACAATACTCATAAAGATTTTTCTTTCACACGTATAATAATGCAAATCCTGCCTGGGGATGGAGTATTTCCTGTGTATGAAAATAATAGTACCAAATCTGTCTTCACTGTAACCATAGCAATGGTTGTCCTTACAATGCCTGTCTCTCAGCATAGATATTTTACAGTGCAAAAAACAGGGTCATAAACTGCAATGGCACCTGCAGGTAAGGAACATACATGATTGTAATACCACAGTCAGGAAGCTCTTTTTGTATCTGATGCTCCATTTTCTGAAATGCAGGTGGAAATCCCATCTCCATCAGCAGTCAAAAGAGCTATTTTTGCTCCCTTGGAAAGATACTTGTGATTTATCTATTGTTTTTGCTTATTCTACCATTGATATTTACATCGTTAGCATAATCTTCCAAATTTGTATGTTACAGAAAATCAGCTAAATTATTCCAATAGTGACTACACTGCAGTATAAATTGTCTCTCTCTGAAACTCCTATTTCAGAGCATAATAGAATAACTGTTCTCATTACGTAAGGCACTTGCAGTTTAGACACCAGACTGTCACTATGCATTATAACACTGCCTTGAATCACTCCTGAAAACCTTCATACAGAAAATTCCATTGTGCTCTCAAACTACGAGCTTCTATCCTGCAATTAGATCTTTGCCAGATCAGCTTTTATTAGCTAGCCTTTATACATCAATGCAAGTGTATTTTTTCTGTGTGGGGCTAATTGAAGTTAGGAGTATTTGCTTCAAGGGCTTTGACAGGAATACACTCAGGACCCATGCTTGTCTTCCAATTAAATTTACTGATTTCATTGTGGGTATCAAAACATTCAGGGATTCATCTAAATTCTTTTACATGTATGACAAGGAACTGATTTTACAGATGTTTTATACATTCTCTGTCCTCAATTGTAGGCCAAAGAGAAATCTGAAAGTCAGATAATCTAATCCTTTCACCATTATTCCAATGGAAAACTTGAAAATTAGTCACTTCCCTTAATGATTGAGCCTTTTTAAAATAATAATAATGAAACCAACACATAACAAATTAAACTAGTGATACCATTTGTATATACAGATGGAACAAGTAATCCTGATCTAATTATGAAATTATAGCATAAAAGACAAGTGCATAGTATTTTAGGAGACATAAATTCTTAAGAGTCTTTTTATTTACATAACTAGGAGAATATACAAAATTAAATAGACCAAACCTGTTATTAAAGCATATCACCTGTTATGAAAGCATATCAAAAGAAACATGTCCAAGCCAGAGATTTATATCCAGAGCCCTTTGCATTGAAACATATAGGACCATCTCTTCTCCATCACATCTAATCTTACTGCTATGCTCCATGTTGTAAGTTTATACTAATTTACAGTTCTAGTTTACATGAGTAGCTATGGAAGACAATGTAGTGTTTCAACACAGAAACGAGAAGAATGAAGAACCTTGCATACAACTTCCAAATGCTGCCTATAAAAATATGAAAACTATTTAATAAAAATTAGGTACATTAAGGAAAAAGCAAAGCACGTAAACAGAAGAGTATATTGGTAGCTCCAGTAATGGCTGTGTTAAATGGGTAAATCACTCATTCTTCTTACATAAAAGAAAAAAATAATTCTTCTTTCGTAAGTCTCCAGCCATACCATCTCCTTAAACCTCTTTTATTAGCCTGTACAAATCTTTTATGTGTTTGCATGGAACAGCTCCAAGGAGAAAGTGTACATATTGATTCACAGCAGGTAGATGGTTTCTTTCTGAATCAGTGCCAATCCAATGCCGCACCTTAATAGCCAGGATACTGGGATATCCTTGAATGACTGATATTACAGTAAGAGCCTGACCACACAGTTTCAGTAAGAACACAGGTATTTTTTCAGAACAAAGAGCTGTCACTTGGTACCTGGCCAAATTCTACTGTGGGTAACTACTTTCTGCCTCCTTTTCCCCTGCAGTTCCAAAGACAGTATGAATGTGTGTGTGCTATCCCAGAGTACTGTGCTTCCACTGCTCTATTTTTAGCAGCACAAAAAAAATGACTCGCTGTAAATGCTTTGAAATCCATTGAGCTGGGAGTTGCATGTGTCTAATTTCACCACATATGGAGGTGGCTTTTGTCTAGTTCAGCAGACAAAATAGCTCAGAATTTTAGATTTTAGGCCTTTTGGAGAGCAGCTCCAGCTGCACCACTAGCAGCTCGGTAAATGGCTTCATGGAAGTTGCTGGGAATCGCAACACCCAGTCTTCAGGAACAAGGCATTACTTAGTATTTATTTAAGATTATACAGCAGGTAGCATACAACTTTAACACACCTCTACATTATCCTCACTGTGAACGAACGAATTCATATAGAGCAAGACATGAACCAAGCAGGGGCTTACATCTGCCTAAACCCCAGCCAAAACACGTACTCCCACTGAACTCAGGTCTGCAGCTGCTCATTAAAAAATGCTCTACTACTTAACAGCTCCCAGGGCAGTACAGAGCCGTCCTGTCTGTCCCCGTACCAGAAGCGGTACAAAAACTCAGCCTGTGCCCACACCGAACCCAGGACCGCGCTCCCGCTATTCCATCCCCTCCCAGCGCTGCCCCCCCTCGGCAGCCGCTCAGGGACTGTCCGAGGAAGGTGCCGGGCGGTGCCGCCCGGCCCTGCCCCGCCTCCATCGTGCGGGAGCGTTTGGGCGCTGCTCCGCGTACCGTCTCCCGGAGCAGAACCGGAACGGAAACACAGCTCCTCACCCCGCCTCGCCTCGCCCGGCCGGGCCGGCACCGCCCCCGCCTCCTCCCTGCTCCCAGTGGCGGACGCGAGTGCCGTAGATGGGACCTCCCCGGCGTGTCTGGGTGCGTTCTACCTTTCCCCCCTCCTTTCCTCACACTCCCCCTCTCACGCTGCGCTCTCAGTGTAGGCGGCTGACACACCGTGCCCCGGGGTCGGGTCCTCTCCCTTGTGTCCGGGCGAGCGGCGGGCTGTGGCCGGAGCGTCCGGCGCAAGGGAGGCCTGAGCCTGGCCTTGGCCCGCGGGGAAAACCGAAACCGAATGCGGTCTAAAATGACGTAGTTAGAAATTTGAGTGGAAAACTGCATAAACCACGTCTAGTTGTTGTTTTCTGTGTGTGTTGCTGGGGTGGCGGGTATTGTTAGGAGGACCGGGGCGTTAAAAGTAGCGCATATCTAAAAAACTTAGTGCGGGCACTACTAGTTTACGCTGTGAGAAAACTGTTTAAGCCTAACAGAATAATAAGGAATGCGAAAGTTCCCGAGGGAATTCCCTGTTTTTCCCGAGTACCTCGCACAAGTCCTTCTGTTAGAGGGCACAGGGCGATGAGGAAATAGGGAAGTGTGAAAGCTGTGGAGCACGCTCTGCAACTTTGAAAAATGCCGGATGGCAGCGGCTCGGAGCGCAGCCCTTCTGCCGCCGCCGCCCCGCCTGTTCAAACAAAGCAGAGCGGAGGAGACACAAAGCGCACCCAGCGCCGTTCGTCGCCTGCTCACCTCCTACTCTCCTGCCAGCGTGGGGTATTCCACGTGAACTCATCTTGGGAAACAAGGATCGTTTTCCACACCAGCCGCACCCACTGGGGTTATATCCTGGTTTTGTTGCCGGGAAGATGACTGTGAAACGTTCGGGATACAAAATGGCCAGCGGGGAGTTAACTGGACCCTTGTGCATCTTTGTGTGTGAAGTTTTAGTACGGTGTTATTTACTGCTCCTTGCAAGGGTGTGGGGAAAAAAAAAAAATCCTTGATTGCACATGCACGTGAACACACAGATTATTGGGGCAGTTTTATCTCTTGAGTATGAACTTTTTTATTTTGTCTTAGAGGATAAATTGTTTTTTTTCTCCTCTTTGTAGAGAATCTTCATTCAATGTAGGTCCTGTTGCAGGGCCCGGGTAATCTAAATAAAAAGCCAGCCTGCTCGGTTTTATGTTGCCATTGCTTTTTGCTTTTTTGTTAATTATTGCAGCTATGATAACTGTATCTGTGATGTTTGAAAAAGTCATCAGATGGCCCCTTCATCTCCTCGAGTGAAGTGGATCTGGCTTAGATAAAAGCACATAGAATGCATTGGGCTTGCCCCAGTCTTGTGACATATCTGCTGTCAAAATATGGGCACGTGGTGCTTGGTTGCAAAGTTATAAACTGGTTTAGTTTATACTAAAAACTTACTTCATGTTGCTCTTACTCATTCGGCACACGGTGTCCAGTGAATGTTATTGGTGATCACTGTGTGTGCACAGTTGTTTTTGCTTTTATTTAGAGCATCATTCCTGGTCCAGTGGAATCATACAGAAGAACACATGATCCCACGTCATTTTTCTTTTGTTTCCCCCCCCTCCATAAAATTAGGAAGTAGGCCCCCCACAATAATTTTTGGTCTTGATACTTGTCCAACAGAGAATGAGTTGATGTAATAAACTGTATATGGACCATCAGTGGAAAATACTGGGTAGAAACCAATGTGTGCTGGATCTGGATCAGTGATTTGGCGATGGTCAAACGCCACTCTTCCAATGTTTTTGTGGACAGACTTGCGTACAGGTAAGACAGTTTCAGCACTAAAAGTATGATCAGCATTTTTTATAATGAGCATGTGATTTAGCTTATATAAAGGAAGTTCACAAAAGTAAGTTATTTATATGTGTACTTTAAAGGCAGATTATTTTTAAAGTAACATATAATTGGTAATTTTGTGTGTCTGAAATCTCAACTCTGTAGGAAATTACTCCCTAACACACACACGCGCACACACACATACTCTTCCTCTTTTTTTAACTAGTTTTAAAAGACTAGATAAAAATCAACTGGAATAGTTAAAAGTTTTTTTTAAGATTTCTAAAAATGGCCAAAAGTTGTTAAATTCCTCTTTACTTTAGAGTGAGTCATAAATAAAATTTCCTCAAGTCCTTTTGAAAGTCCCAGCTCTATGTACCTGGGAGATACTTTCATATGAAAGTGTTTTCTGTCTCCCCTTTCCTGACTGCATTATGGCATGAAAACAGTCTGTGTCTTTCTGTAGAATTCTCATCAATGTTTGATGCTAGATTGAAAATAAGTTAGCAATTAATATGCTTTTTCTCTGATAGAACATTCTCCAAAACACATTAGAGTGTAAGAGGAGTTCCTCTGCTTATCCTCTGATACACTCTTTTAGTGGGCAGTGACACCCAGTCCATGAGTTTAACCAAATGTGTTTTTTACTTCCTTTCTGAGGAAAGTCAAGTAGATCTGTAGAGTTATTTTTCATTTAAACAGCACTTGGGGGGCGGGGAAGGCTTGTAGATGAGTTTATCTCGTCTGCTTCATTTATGAACACAGTATATGACATTGTTGCTTGTAACCTCCAGAAGGTGTAACAAAAGGCTGAAAATGCTTTAAAAAAATCTTCCTCAGGTGCTAGAATCTTCAGTGTGTTAGGCTTTGAAGTTGTGTTAGCTTTTGCTTTCCAGTACAGTGTAAAAAAAAAACTATGCAGTTTAGTCATCAAGCTCCTTTTAAGGACTAAGATTTGTCTTCAGATTGCTCATCTCACCTTTCTCCATGTATGTAATGGAGATCAGAGGAGGCTAGATAGAATTTCCAGAGTTGGTGGCAGTGGAAATTGAACATAGCACCCTATTGATTTTGTTAATCACAAGGCTGGGGGTTTTTCTAAGGTGGAGTTTTTATTTCAGTTTTCACTATGGTGACACGTGAATGTTACATGAAGAAAAAGGCAGTTCTGTGGCTTATCTATACCTTCAGTTAACCAATTTGCATATTGAAGGTTGGAATTTTTTCTTTGAGCGGTTCTTCAGCCTTTTTGAGCATGAAGGGTGTGTACGGAGAATCCTTAAAACCCGAATAATTCATTCAGATTGGAATCACTTTAAATTATGCCAATAAGTAAGAAAATCCACATGCTCCTGTATTTACAGCTAATTAGCGTTTTAAAATATTACGTGTTATCTTGTGAATATTTCCTTAATTTTTACTTCATTCAAGACCAAGTGCATACCTGATAGCAGTGGTTTTGTATGTGGAGGTTTTTTTTCGTTCTTTCATCTACTATATATGATTGCACTACCTTTTAGCTTCCTGAAAAATGCCTTGAGACTTTGAAGGGAGAAAAGGTGGTGATGAGCAGAGGGGTGGAGGGTTGCTGGGAAGAGGTCAGAGCTTTCAGAAATACTTGAAGTACCCACTCATCAGGAAGCCGATGACTTTTGTTTCACTTCCTATGGAATTTACAGATTAGTGTTAGTGTAATTCACTTTAAAAAGAACTCACATGTCTTTCTGATTAGTATGATCTACCAAGTACCTTTAGTTCTGTAATGAACAGCTGGGAGAGTCCCTCGAACACAGGAGGTCTGTGAAGAGTAAGTTGGAGTTTTAGTCGAAAGCAAAATACTTCAGTTAGGAGAGTTAACTGTGAACTTGTGCAGCAGATCCCTGATTTATTGACTTCTAATTCTCTCCCACAGAACTGCTTTTGTAAAAATGCACCTAGTTAAGAATGAACACCAGAGAAGTGCTGCGATAGACATGGGCCTCATGTCGTGTTGGTTTCCTGTTTATAACCAGTAGGCACAGCAACGGAGTGATGACCGCGTGCCAAGTGCCAGCTGCCCTTATTCACCAGATTCAAGAAGAACTGGATAAAGAAGAAGAAGAGATGATGGTTTTCCTGTGCCGAGACCTTGCTCCTGACTTGGCCACTGCTGATCTTAGAGAGATCTTGGCAGCTTTGAATGAGAGGGAGAAACTGTCTCCTGTTGGCTTGTCTGAGCTGCTGTACAGAGTTAAAAGGTTTGACTTACTGAGGAGGATCTTGAACACTGAGAAAGCAACAGTGGAAGCTCACCTTACCAGGAGTCTCAGACTTGTCCCTGATTACAGGTAATATATCTATTTCAGATTTCAGAGCTATGCTATCTTGTTCAGAGTAAATGGGGGGTTTTTCTTAGTTTCGGAGAGGCATGGGAGGGTTGGGTTTTTATTATTTTTTTATTTTATTTTTATTTATTTTTTAAAAAGTTATTAAAGGTAAAAGAAAAGCAGAAAAGAGCATTATATCTAGAATTACAGTGAAAAGAATATGTCAAGTTTAGTCCCTAAATTAAACCTTAGTAGTTTCTCACAAGTCGTGACATTAGAAACATCTATATTTCAGGAGTTTGTATGTTAGTCAATAAAACCAATTATGTTTGTAAATTGTAGATTAGCAGATAAAAATGGCACTTTAAAGGGACATCATTAGTTAGAGGTATTTTCTAGTTTGCTTTGGGCACATAGCCATGTGGTATAGCTTTTCTCAAGGGACCTCTCATACTACTTTTTTACTCTATTAGTTTCGAGAGGCTAAAATTAAGAAGTTCCAGTTATTTTCTTTGAGAGACTTCAGAAAGAAATACATATACTCACAAGGAAGATTTTCCTATGTTAACTTCTCACTAAAATAAAAACCCTGTACCTAATAGGTAAAAAAGTTAAAGATGTGTTCTGTTGTCTCATTCTCTATTGAAACATGAAGAAGACTTTTGTTTTCCTGACAGTGGCTATTACAGTGTGAGTAAGGCAGGTGCTAATTAGAAAGAGTAGGATCTTATAGCATGGTAGGTTTTTTGCCTGTTTATTAGTTGGAAATGATACATTAAGACTGGAACATGGGAGAAGCTCAGTAGTTGGGCAAGGGAGGGATCTTGCTTCAAGCTAATCGTTTAGAAATATCTCAACTTTTTTTCAGGGTGCTAATGGTAGAAATAAATGAGAATCTGGAAAAAGAGGAAGTGGGTTCTCTTCTTTTTCTACTTAGAGATTATACACCTCGGATGAAAATGGCAAAAGATAAGGTATGTTTTTCTGGTATTCTCCCCTGGAGCAGGGAGAGATCAAAGTAAAAAGGCAAGTAGCTAGAGATCAAAGGAGAGGAGACAGTGCTGCAAGGGGTAGCGAGGCAGGAGTAGAAAGACATCAGAAAGTGGACACAGAGTAGTGGCTTCTATTTCATTTCGTTGCTTTTTAATTCAAGGAAGGAGGCATGAAAAACAGGGAATAGTGCTTGCTGTATCTAGATGCATAGTGTTAGAATGAACCTCACAGGCAGAAGGCATTTTTAAAAAGTCTTCAGTAATACTGACCTGAAAGCTCATATAAGAAGGATCTGAAACCAATAATCATTTGAAATGTATCTTGAATTGCAAAGTCACTTTTTATGTTTGTGCTCTGCTTCACTTACAAAGGAACAGATTTATTTTAATTATGCCTTTCTCTGTACCTTTTTATTCTGAATATTTAAGTCCTCTGAGAAAGCAGAAAGTCAGTAGAGAGGATTCAGAAAACTTGACCACTGTGCATAGAAGACTGAAGATTTCTGTCTTCTTCAAAACATTTTCTTTAATCAAGGAAGGAGAGGCCCTACAAATTTCACAAAGCTTTCTTGCCTCTTGCTTAGTGGCATGTGAGATGACGTTCCCAGTGACTGACTTTGTAGCAAAAATGAAATGCAAAACTGTTTCCTCAAAAACTTAAGATTAATTTTTAAGAATATCACTTTCTAGTTTCTGTTACTTCTGTGATAATACCAAGAATTCTTATACCTTTCAGAATATTTTCTTAGTGTGTCAGAAGGTAACATCCCTACATTGCTTATACAGCCTTTATGACCTCCCCATGGTATTTTCTGGGTTGTTTTGTTGCTTCTGATAGAGAACAAATTACTGATAATGTTTGGTTTTCATTTGCTGTTCTAGAGTTTTCTAGCTCTTGTAATTGACCTGGAGAAACTAAATTTGGTGGCTCCTAATCAACTGGATTTGATAGAAAACTGTTTTCAAAGTATTCACAGGATAGATTTGATTAGGAAGATTCAGAACTACAAACACAAAGGTAAGATGCTATTTTTGCAGTGGTTACTCTTGATAGCAAGAATGAGATGTGCTTTTACTGAAAATAAAACTATGAGTTACAAATCAGAGTATTTACATGCTTCACAGATTTAGGTTTTTAAAACAGTTGATATATCGTGGTGTATTTGTGTGTTTCTGTTAAATTTGCAGCTTTAATGTCCTCCGTTCATTCTCAGCCAGTGTATGTAAATGCACGCCCAGCATCTCTCACTAATCTCAATCTGATTGATCCTCCTTACAATTCAGGGGTAAGTATACAAGAAATCAGACAAATCCTTTATTTCTGAATATTGCCAGATGTTAAAAGGAGATTCATCTTTCAGAGCCTGAGGAATGAGAGATTGCTAGTGACTAAAATACTACTTGGTTTGTTTCTGTTATTCCCACTGTTTGCTGGGTTTAGGGTCTGAGTTAAATCTTCTGAGTGAGAAAGGTCCTCTTTAAAGAAGTCCTGTGAATTTTTCCCTATTAGTTGAACATATAAAATCTGTATCTTGAAAGGTTTTTTCTGCTACACTCTAGTGGAGTTTTGCTTTTAATGGTCTTTACAAAACATATTATTCTTCTTTGTACCGCTGGACCTTGCAGGGAAAGTAGCTTTTAATTTTTGAATCTGGAGATTAGAGCTTTTTAAGAAGAATTTTTCAGATTTTTTTTTTTGTGGTTTGTTTTAATCTCATTTTAAGAAAATATGTCAGTATGTGAAAAGTCATCAAATCCTATTGCATGCAGTATTATTTATATTTGGGTTAGGTCTGATATTGTATTAGTATGACCTTCCTTAAAGTCTTTAGTCTTGCTAAATTGGATGAGATTAATTCTGTCACGTGTTCAGTAAATGTTCCCTGCTGCTCTACGGGAAACAAAATTCACATCTGTGGAGATTTTTTTTTTTGTTTTACTAGATTGGGGAATAAACTTTTCTTTGCTGATCATGACAAGCTGGTAATTTTTTTTCTGAGGAACAATAATTTTGGAGTTTTTTGTTTGTTTGTGCTTTTGGTGGTTTTTTTCATTAGTTATTTTGTAGTCCTGATTAGGTGATATATATGAATCTAAAACATGTAATCCTTTTATTGAGGAAAAAATACTATTGTGTTTTATTTTGGAACACATGATTATTCTTGAAATAGAAAGGGAAAATTATGCCCTTTTTCTTCATTTTAGATTCAGAATGGGAGCAAAGAAAAATTACAAAATGGACTAAATCATACCCTGGGTAAGAGCATTTTTATCTGAGTTTTGGTGATCTAAAAGAGCCAAATGATTAATTTCTTTGTATCAAAAGGACTGTTGTTTGATGGTTGTGTTTATGGCTAATCCAGCTGATAACACCAGGAGCAGAGAGTATTTGGTACCTCTGAAAACTGAGCCTGGCCTCATTATTTGGTCTTTAGTTGCTTTGCTTGTGCTGCCACATTTTAAAACTTTATTAAAAATTGTTGTGGGTTTCCACTGTCACAGGTTTTTAACAGAATAAATACTTTATTAATAAAACCACAGATAAGATTGACTATCCCGAGTACCAGGTTCTTTCCATGTATATTGTGTTTTCTCTGGAAATACTGCTCAAATATGGTGATTTTTAAGAGTAGTTGGCTGAATTCTCTCAGTGTAGGAGAGATTCCTTTTTTATTCTAGTCACAAGCAATGTAAAATGCAATCGAAATGACAATTTAGAGGAGAAGAGTCGAAGGCTTTTTAAACTTCAGTGGCATACATAGAATCTAAGAGGTCCAGATGAGTGAGATACATTCCTCTTTATAACTGATCTGGTGTCAAAGAAATCTCACTGGTACTTATGTACTGAGATTGCTTCTGTATGTTTTAACTGCAGCAGAACCAGTTCCCATGTCCATTCAGGAATCGGGATCAGCGTCACATAAGGTATGTGCTTGTCCATATGTATGCATGTGAATATAATAACCTCTGTGAGAACTTACCTTGGTTTTCTGGGTGTTTCATTTGGGGATTTCCTTTAATTGTGTGCAGACAGAGTAATGTGTACACCCTCAGCCATAAACAGGTTCTGTGAATTGCTTTTGCAGAATATATTTTTAAATTAAAAAATTTGCTGCTACTCTGGAAGCAGCAGTGTGCAAAATCCATGTATGTGTGGTGTGTACACAGAACTTGTACATTTATTAGTGGAGGCCAAGTTAAAACCTGTTGGAGGTCAGACCTCTCTTGCCATCTCATTAGAAGTCACAGGGCTTCTTTGCATGCAGCAAACTTTGTTTATGCTTCCCTCCTCACCCCTTGCTGCTCCAGGCAGGAGACAGACATGCTTTAGGTATTAATGGACTACTGCTATTTTCACTAGTTCTCCTGTAGGACAGGAACAACAGAGTTACCTGTACCAATTGAATTTTAATCTCTTTAGAGGGGAGAGTGATTGTGATGTCATTACAGATTATTTAGGAGCAATGCAGTTATTCCACTAAATAAGGGAACAAATGTTCTGATGAACAGTGCTTGCTTGCACACCTGAAGAACACAAAAGTTCTCTACTGTGTTGGCAGTATGAAGCTTGTAGCTCCCAACATCTCAATAGCAGAGACAGTATTATAATACTTATATAAGTATTTATTTTTTACTTCAATAAATACTTAATTTGGAAGTACTATAGGAAGATCACTGCTTTCATAGTGCAGGGCTTTAAAAAGCCCCTTCACCCCACACGGCAAAAAAACCCAAAACCTGACAGACTTGAAGATCTGTTTAGAGGTAAGGTTCATTTCAGACTTGCTCCTATCATTTTTGATATAGTCTTAGTCTCTGAGGATCTTTATAGTAGAAGGATTGCATAATGCAAGGAAACAAAAATTAAGCCTGTACTAGAAATAGGGGGAAAGAATCATTAGTCCATTTCTTCTGATTTTTTTGTTGTGTAAATAAGATATGCTACATCCCAGTAGATAGATTTCTGCTAGCTACTCTATGGAAAACAACTAAATGTAATTTAATAGATCTGAGGTGCTAAAATCTGAGAAAACAGTAAGGTCTGTAAGTTGAGAGAGTGACGTTAACTTTCTAATTGTCCTCTCATGTTCCTCAGGGGACTGATGAACCTTACAGAATGCAAAGTCAACCTTTAGGAATATGCCTGATCATAGACTGTATTGGCAATGATGCAGGTAAGTCTCTGGAATTTGAAGTTCCTTAACTTGTTAATAATTAGAACAATTTAATATAAAGAGTATGTTGTACATTTACCAGCCAGACTAGGGTAATGTTGTCCTAGTCAGCTAGTCTACCAATTCTAGTAAGTCTTCTAAAGCAGGGAGTTGGAAGGCCCAGCCTGAGGTTAAAACCAACTGTCCCCCCAACTATTGCAAGCAGTGTTAGTTTGGTTTTTTGGTGCAGAATCTCTGAATGAAAGAACTTGAAGACTGAATTTTGGGAGGGAGAAGGAGGATGTTCAGAGACCTACCTGCTACAGTCATACAGCAGGTTATTGTCAGAGATGGTAAAGATAGTGTTTCCCACCAGTTAAGACAACCAAAACCATTGGATTTGAAGTGCAGTCATATAGGACACGATAGATTTTGAGTAGTTATGTGTTCCTTTATTAATAATACAGGCTTCTGTCATACCTTGCACAGTTTAACTGAAACTGTCACCATGCTGTCTCTGTAGTCACTGCCATGGTTAAAATGTGGGGGTTTTCTGATGACCTGATCTAATCCAAGAATTAGATTTTTGCAGAAGCAGAAAAATCCCTCAGTCTCTAACCACTATAGCACTTGAGGCTAAAAATAAAAGTGAAGAGAGTAATTGCAGTCAGTTCTGTAGTAGGCAGGAGACATAGGGGAAGGAGAGGGTTTGTGGACATATCTTTTATTTTTATCATATGTAATGGTCCAGCAGATGGACCAACTTAGAATTATTCATGTAGTTGTTAAAGAGCAGTGGATGTGGAAAGTAAAATTTTTGTGTTTGCTTGACAATAATATGTTGGATAAATTATAGAAACCAAGACATTTTGCCATTAGGATAACAGGAACTAAAACTGATTCACAATCCTGCCATGCATGGATAAGAGGGAAAAGGAAGGCACTTAACTCAGTTACATGCAACTGGGAAGCACCTTTGAGATTTTGGTCTGTACTACCGAGTTCATCGCTGATTTCTGGAGAAGAAAAAAAAAAACAAAACCAACCAGACAAAATCCCCCCCCCCCCAAAAAAAAAACCTAGAAGAACAAGGATGCAGTTGCTACATATAGAAATTATATTGTTCATTGTAAAGTGCTAAAGCACTTCCTCACTTCTACTCTCAAAAAAAAACAAAAAAAAAACCCTGAATTTGTCTCAAGAGGAAAATAGACTATCTTCCAAGGACTGAAGGACTGGGGCTGGTGGCTCTTGGAATCATAAATGACTGCAGAAGGTTCATTTTTGACTGAATTAAGGGAGCCTCTGTGTTTTTTATGCAGTTCTGTATATCTATAATAACCATTCAGAGTAATTTTGACCATTAAAAGGGGAAACAGGCTTCCCATGCTATTCACGTAATTCCTTACCATTTCAAATATTTTCTAATGTTTTTCCTTGCATCATAGGAACTTGGGATACTGACTCTAAATGAAGTATGCAAGGGTCTGTGGAATTTGGAACAGATCACGTGCCAAATAATACTGTCTTTTGTTATCATGAAGTAGATAACTCCCGTTAAAGACAACATGCATAGAGCACTATAAGTATGTAATGTACTGTGATCAACACTGCGTCCTCCTGATTCTTTAATTATTGTGATAAACTACTTAGTTCCAATAGCAAAACACTGTAAATATGGTAATTCGGGATAGTTGAGATTGAGCCTCAGTGTGCTGTGATTTAATTACCTGTTGCTTCTTTCAGATGTGTTGGAAGAGACCTTCAGAGGCTTGGGCTATGACGTTCATTGTCACAGATATTTAAATATTGCCACCATGAAGCAAACATTGCTTGACGTTGCAAGTTTGCAGCAGCACAGAAATTATGACAGCTTCATTTGCATATTGGTCAGCCGTGGAAGTCATCAGGGCATCTTCTGTACAGACATTACCTGTTCTGGATTCCCTTTGGAACAAATAAAAAATTACTTCACACCAGACTCATGTCCTGGACTCCTAGGAAAACCAAAGCTTTTTTTTATTCAGAGCTACATTGTGCCAGAAAACGAGCAAGAATGTACTAGTCTGTTGGAAGTAGATGGGAATGATAAAAATATCGTTACTAAAGTCATTATCCCCCGAGGAGCAGACATCTTTTGGAGTCATTGTAAGGTGGATGCGTCTACACTAGAAAAATCCTCAACTTCATGCTCATATTACCTGCGTTGTCTGGCTGAGCTACTCCGCGATCCTTACATAAGGTAAATTAGAAAAAGAGGAAAAAAATAACCCATTTCCTATGACAGCCTGTTGTCATTGAGAAGGAGAAACCTTAAGTTCCGTCCCATCTGGTCCTGTAAAGTGACTTCATGCAGCGTCATAAACTAAAAGACAAGTAGCCTGAGGTAGGAATGAAGTTTCTGGTTGTGAAGAGTAAAATTAAAGTGTGTTATGGCACTGGGGTTTGCAGAGTAAGAAGGGAGTCCTGGATAATGTATGTCAGCACTTTAGAGAGGATGCAGAATCTTCCTTCTCCAAGATAAAAAGGCACATTCCAGGCTTCTGTTAAATTGAGGATTGCCATGTACCATTAAGGAGAGCTCTGCTTGCAAATATAAGAAAATCAGTGCCTAAGTTCAGGAAAAAGGCTGTAGAGAGGGAAGGATTTTCTGCTTTTTGTAGATTTAATTTATCCTTCACTCAGCCACTAGATTGCCAGTATTCTTGAATTTAAACTGTCAGAAAACTTTTCTCTGTTTAAAGAGATCAAAAGGAATCTGAGCAAAAGTCACATATATATATTTGGATATATAACAACAACAAAGATTTTCTCTATACAAATGATCTATCAGGGAGCTAACAGCTGTTTTTCAAGGTAGTTGCAGCATTAACATTTAGTACCTTTTTACAAATGCCAAAACCTTGTCTTGAAATCACAGATCATCATATCAGCATAATTAATATCACAACACTGATTTGGGTTATAAGTTTGTCTCAAAATGCCTCTTCAGCCTTGTGTTTTAGAGGTCTAGCCTCTGCAGTAAAGACTGACATTTGGAACTTTCTCCTTGCTGAGTCTAAAGTTGTCTTCTCTCTTGTGGATTCTTAGATGGTGTCTTGCTTCATTCTCTAATGGAATGCTTTTACTTTTGTTGCTGCAGGAAACTCACCATATCAGATATCCATACGGAACTGAACGGAAGAGTTTATAAATGGAATGAGACCGCTGAGCCATGCCAACAATACTCACTTCTGCTCCAGCACACACTGACGAAGGAACTTTTTCTTTTTCCTACTTAACTGCTCTTGGAAAGGACATATCTGAAGTTTCTAACAAGAAGTATTTAATATGATCCGAACAGTTTCACACATACTTTTACTTTATGCATTTTATTTCATGTATATCTAAAGTGCCTGTTGCTTCCAAACCCAAGAATTTGGAAGCATTTTGGTGCGTTAAGACACTAGATTTTATATTTTAGCGCAGAAGTCTCTGAAAGCTTGGGTGAGAATGGTAGCTATTGTATAGCACTGCAGCAGATCTTGCAACTAAATACAACAGGTAAACAGAGGGAGAAGAGCTATAAACTGTATAGCTGTTGGGTTTTCCAACAAAGCTAAAGTGGCTTTATTGTTTTATTGATGGTTTTTTAGCATACCTGTTAGCAGTTAATGCTTAAACAAATACAAGCTGGACCAAACCACCGAAATACTCTGGGTACTTTCCCCTGCACTGCAAATGTGTCAGGAAAGAATTCCTACATAGTAATGCTAGTTCTTCATTAGCAAGTTGTGGCTTGCATGCCTCCACAGACTACCAAAACAGGAGGGGGAGAGAGATGGTCTTTCTAATAATCTGGATTCCATTTGCTTGCTGCCTTAGAGGTTGTGTCATCAGTACTGTCCACAGCACACAAGGACTCTGTGTTATTAAATGAGACAGTCTGCCATGTTTTGGACTAAGTAAGTTTTCCACTGATGCAAAAATGAGTCTACATGTGGCAGGACATTACAGTATCTACCACACAGTTTAAAAAATGGGGGATTTTGGCAGGTGTTTTGTGGAAGCTGAAACATGATTCACACTCATTACAACCACAGTTGTAAAAGGACAATTAAAAATATTTGAACCTAAATGTAGCATGTAGCACGGTTCTTAAGCCGTGGACTCTTATGACTGGATTAAATTAAACACCCCTGGTTTTGCTTATGAAAAAGAATATGCCTTTATTAATGGATTTTTTTCCCAAGTTTTTTCCATAAATATGAAAACTTTTCTCCAGTGGAGTAAGTGCCTAACATGAAAAGTTCAGTTAATCTGCTTGTTGTATAACAGTATAACCTGGATGGGTTGTCCCTCCTAAAGTAGGCCACTTGCAAACTTTTGATATTCCTAATAGAGTCTGCTATCCAGGGAAAAAATTCAAGGCCTTGGCATGCCTTGCTTGGTTTCTGGTGTAGTTTTTTAATGGGGAAAGAGAAGGATTAAAATGACAGATTTGGAATCTTAAAGTTACTTCCTATGAGGGCTGGTAAATGAGGCAAATGGTGAAACAAATATTTTCTGTGGTTGTAGAAATAAGATGTCATTTCAAGTCATATATATCTTAAGTGATGTTAACAAACGTGATCTCTTTTACAAACTTCACTTTCCGATTTCCCTCACTAGCTTTTGCATGTGATGAGCACTTCTTCTACCTTATAGAGAACCAAAAGCAGGGAGAATGGAACCAAGAGGAGGCAGATGAGGAAAACAAATATGGAAAATGTAAGCAGGAACAAGAAGGGGAATGGTAGGGAGCATCAAGAGAAGAACAGGTAGGGAAAAGATGATTTGTAGGAGAAATACAGTGTCAATATTTGTAGGAGAAGAAAACAGGAAAAAGTAAGTAAGAATAATAGTGGCTATCCTTACAGGCTCTGATGATGTGGTGGGTTGGTTGTTTTGGGGTTTTTTGAGTGATGCTAAATACAGCTATTTATTTAAAATATTAGCAATAGAATATATTCTTCAGAAAATGTTCTTACACTTTTGTGACAATGTAAGTTTGGTTTGAGGGTCAAGAAGTGTACATATTCTTTGCCTTACTGCATGACACAGTAAGTCCATGCCCCTGTTGTGAAGAAATGAAAACTAGAGGGTCCTGTAATTAACCCTTACAGTGGACAAAGAAGGGAGTCTCTTTGTGTCTGGCTGCTTGGATTGGAAGTGATTACAACCCCCTGAAGAGTTGTGGGGACAGCTACGTATTGCACAGCATTCGTGGATATCAGATACTGATTTTCTACACTGATGTTTTGTCCCTCAGTAGGTTCTTTAACCATAGCAGTACTCAATCTGTAATCATTCATTTAAGCAATATTTAATGCCTTTACACCTCTTTCAGGAGTGATATATGGGTAGGCTGATTCCCTATACCTAGTGCGTAGTGAAAAGTAGAACCGAAGTCAGTATTTATGCAGGAATTTTGTGATGCCAGTTGTGTGTCACTTCTCCCATAGCTTATAGAATCATAGAATGTGCTGAATTGGAAGGGACCTATCAGGATCATTGAGTCCAACTCCTGGCCCTGTGCAGGATAGCCCAAAGAATTATGCCATGTGATTCCTGAACTGTCGGGCCTGGGGCTGTGACCACTTCCCTGGGGAGGAGCCTGTTCCAGTGCTCAACCACTTTCTGGGTGAAAAACCTTTTCCAGATGCCTAACCTAAACCTCCCATGATTCAGCTTCATGCTGTTTCCTTGAGTCCTGTCACTGGTCACCACAGAAAAGAGATCAGTGTCTGTCCCTCTTCTTCCCCTCACAAGAAAGTTGTAACTGCGATGAGGTCTCCCCTCAGTCTCCACTTTTCCAGGCTGAGCAGACCAGGTGACCTCAGCTGCTCCTCATAACCCTCCACACCTGTCTCTTTTTGCCATACTGTGCACCAAAATTTGAGTCTAGAAATGGATGCAGGGCATAGGCTGCATCAAGTTGTACCTGTATTGCAGACAGAGTTAACCTGCAGATTTCAGGTTAAATGACTCGGTAGCCGAAAGGGGAAGAGAATGAATTCTGGAGCCATCATGAGTTCAGGGTGCTAGTACAGGAACATAAAAAGTGGCATGCTGGTGAAGTTTCATGGTCTTGGACTGGCAAAATGTCTAGTTTTCAGAAACTGCTGTTTGACAAGGTAAAACAAGTCACTCTGCTCCTGCGTTGTCATTGCTTGGAATATGGCTGTCAGATTCACTGCTCCATGGCACTTAATTTCAGTTTTGGTTTCTGGTAACTGGAATAGAAATTTCTTGTAGTTCTGTATGTGCTATATATGTGGAAGAGGGGAAAGAGAATTGGGAGAATATAAATGATGCCTTTTGATGGCTCAGAAGGTGTACTCATGAGGCAGGAGTTTCTGTGGTGTGTTGTACCAGACTTAGTGTCTATGATTTTTCTCAGCCACTTACGTTGACATGGCTGAGCCATAAATGGAGTTTACTTTGCACTGTTACATACTTGTGTATTAAGATGTTTGCCGGCTCATTATCCAGAAAAGAAGTTAAGTTCAAGAGGAAGTTATGGTGCTAGGACATGATAGCAGTTGTAGATGGAGCATGTTGTATGTCTCATCTCCCCTTTCAACTTTGCATAAGGGGTGACTTCTGTTACAGATACCTTTTGAGATACAGATACCTTACAGAGAAGCCTTTTGAGAGCTTTTGTGAATTCTTTTCTGCTGTCTGGAGTTTTAAGTTTCTGACATGCCAGATGATATTGCTGAGAAGAGGCTGCTATTTATATGGATGTTCTAACTATGGTCCATTTAAAATAAATCTCCTGCACTGAATTATTTAACAGCTTTTCTGTGGCTGTTTTGAAGACTGTCTGTTTTTCAGCTTCTGTATTAGAATCAAGAAGACATTGCACTCCAATCCAAATAGTGGATTTCAAGCTGATTTTCTGAATAAAATTTGTGGATGCAGTCAGACTGACTGTCTCTATCTCTCTTTAGAACACAGAGTAATTCTGAAATTCTTGGTTGATTTATCTTGTAGACCTCTACAGCTTGTTAAATTTGGCTGTGGAGTTCTCCAGCTCTATTAAAATGAGCTGACTGAACAAAGGACACCGAGCCTTAAAGTTTCAACAGGTAGCTCGGCTGTTGTTGGTGTGTTAAACAGCATGAGCAAGGAGGCGCTTCCCATCCTGTCTCCTCTGACTCGAGGGTATGGGGGGATACACACTGCTGAAGGCCCCAGGGAGCCTGCTTTGAGCAGAGGCTGCTCACCTTCCTCCACTCCTTCCTGCAGGGAGGAGTGATGCACAGACCTGCACACAAATGGCAGTGCAGCCCTCTCCCACTACACTGCTCTTCAAACTTCCTTTTACCGCCAAAAGAGAACGTGGCTTGATCATTGCTAAGCAAGGATTCTTTATTAGCAGCACTGGGGCTGCACTGAGGATTTTCCTTCTGTAAGTACTACTGATGTTTAGTTAATTATAGATTGCTTATATTTTCCATTTCTCGGAAATATTTTGCATAAACACCTATTCCCGTATTTGTTTTGCTTATTATAATTTATGGTGTTTTGCTGCCATCTTCTGTCCTTTTGCAACAAACACAGTCCCTGTGGTGGTCATATTACCTCCCCCGCTGGTTGTTTCCTAGTCTTCCTCACATGTTGGCACATGCTCAAGGTCCGTTGTCTCCTTTCCAAACCTCGAAGCTGGTTCCTGCTGGGGTTATGTTCTTGTCGTCTTGGATGGCCAGCTTCACAGCTTCACAGCCTTGAAGGCTGGGGTCTGATTGGTTACTTCTTTTAAGCCATACATAAAAGATACGTGCATCCTATCTACTTACAAAACTATGTGTCTTATCTAAAGATTCTCAGGCAAGTTTCTCAGGCAAGCTAAGCAACAATATTTAACAGCCCCTTTTAACAGTGTTAACAGCCCCTTTCATTATGATAGCAGATAATGACAGGACAAGGGGCAGTGGTTTTAAACTGAGAGAGGACAGTTTAGATTAAATGTTAGGAAGAAATTCATACTCAGAGGGTGGTGAAGCACTGGAACAAATTCTAAAAGAGTAAAGTGTTTGATATGTGTTAAATTATGTCATTTGTGTCTCCTAGGGGAGGAAGGGTAAAAGGATGAATAACCACTGAGTTTTTCAGTTGAATCATTCCTGAACAGTTTTAAGAATTTCTTTTTACTTAGCCTTTAGCTGTAATAAAGACCTAAAACTAAACTAAATCATCATTCTATATAATATAATTGAAAATTCCATAATGAGGCAACTCAGTGCATACTTCTTACTTTGTTCTGTTAATTCTATTTATCTCTTATATATGGAACTCTTAATAGTCAAAACTGTAACTGGAAAATAATGATGTGAGGAAGGTTTTGAAAGATCTGAAACTGGGAAAGGACAGATTCTTCATATTTTCAAGTGTCATTTTCAAGTGCGCTCACTTACAATGACATTTTACAATGTACATTCTATTTTCTGAAACTTGTCTAGTAGAATTCAGAAACTCTGTATTTGAGCTGATGCCATCTTTTTTCATTCCAGCTAACCTTTAGTTGGTACTAATATGAAGATGAATATGCTCAAGTGTCAGGGTGTAAGGTCTTTCCCCCTTCAGATTTGCTTCCATGGTGACTTCATAAAATGTTTTCCTATAGCGTGTGAATTTTCTTTTTGTCTTTCATGGATTTACAGAGGAACTGAAGCGGGTATTCACATGGCTTGGTCTGGATGTGAGGACTTACACAAACCTGACGTCTGGGGAGATTACAGATCTCATGCAAACTTGGCAGCGTTTGCAAGATCACAAAGACAGGAACTGTTTTAAATGTTGTATTCTATCTCATGGAAAGTCAGGAGCAATCTGTGGGACAGATGAGAAACCTGTATCAATCTGCATGATTATGTCCCACTTCACTGCCACATAATGTCCCAGCTGGCTGGAAAACCCAAAGTCTTCTTTATCCAAGCGTGCCAGGGTAAAAAGATACAGCGTCCTGAAGTTGATGTACAAATTCCTGAATTCTATTCCATGCAACAGAGCTTTTCTCTTTCTGAAAGTATTCCCAAAGTTGCTAATTTCCTCCTAGTCATGGCCACAGTTGATGAATGTGTCTCTTTCCATGACATTCCACAGGTTACTTGGTATATTCAGGCCCTCTGCAGCAAGCTACAGTTGTTGGTACCAAGGTGAATACTTTGCTTAGTGCTCCGATTAAATTATTTTTCTCCAAAGGCAATTCATATAGGAACACTAACCCATGTTCTAAGGTGGACAAAATTGGTTAAACTGATGGTTTTACACTGATAAATTTACATTAACACTGCTAGTACCATAGAGATAATCTGAAGTTTATTGTAAAAGAAACCCTCAAAGCCTCCCATCTATAATCTTTAAAGCAGAGCTGTTTCTTGAGTGGATTTCAGTAAAAATATTTTGTTTCATTATTTCCCTTTACTGGTTAAATCAAGGAAGTCAAAACAAGAAAAGGTCTTTTGTTTTTCATATGACTCAAATGAGAACAGAAGAGGAGAAATTTAGAGAAAAGGATGTGTTTTCTTTTTTTGTGTTTTAACTGTTCATAGTGTATTTTCTAGCTTTTCAGGGAGGTGTTAAATGGATTGCCATCTGCTCACTAATAAGTAACTTTTTTATTCTCTCCTTCTGTCTGTAGGGTAAAGATATTTTGTCAATTCTTACAGAAGTTAGTTGGGATGTGGCCAGTCGTGTTAACTACATGGGGTCAAAGCAGATACTCCAAACAGCATGTACCTTTAGAAGATTTACATTTCCAATACCTAGGGACCCGCCTCCTTCAGAGCAATATCAGGGCTTTCAAAACACATCATTTTATCATCTTATTTAAATGCAGTTCATCACACTGCCTATTTTAAGACTGTTACCCAAAACCCTGTGGATCTGTTAGCTTCAAGGCAACACCTTATAAATTTTTTGTCAAATGAATTGTGAAACTAGGGGAGACACTATTAATGCATGTGCCAGCTATTTACATCATCTGTATTTTCAGAGTTATCAGGGTTGGGAGAAACATGCTTCTGTGATGTTAAAAATTTTTGTACCTGCACAGGCTTCAGACAGAAAAGGATTTTTTTGGCAGCATAGGGGATGCATGTAACCTTCCATGTCTAAACCAGGACTGTTAATGGTCTGGTTTAGGCTCATCATATTTTATTTTGCAGGCTAACAATTTTAAATCCTTGTATTGGGTCTGGCTGAGCTGGAGTTCATTTCCCCATAGCAGCCCTCACAGTGCTGTGCTTTGCATTGTTAGCCAGAAGGGTGTTGATAACACACCGGTGTTTTGGCTACCGCTGAGCACAGCATCAGCACTGTAACATTCCTTCACCAGTCAAGGGCAGGATTGTAGGAGGGGACACATCCAGGCCAGCTGACCCAAACTGACCAAAGGTTTTCTTCCATCTCTAATGTAAATGATGTTTAACTTAATAGAGGACCAGTTACCAACTGAAGTCAGGAATTTGTCCCACAGTGCACACTGATACTGTCAAATGCCTAACATAAACTTAATGTGCAATGAGATTTTTCCAAGACTGAATAAAGCCATTATTCCCTCTGTGAAACCTTGTGAACTGTTACTTCCCCATCACTTCTGAGAAGAAAATTTAAGGTAGAAGATTGGCATGCTATGAAATACACCATTCAGCAGTGTATCTCTATAGGTATATCAGATTGATTAACTTTGTTAAGCATTAAATTTTTTCATTATTGTTTCTTGGTTTAAGATCTAAAATGCAGCCATATGAGAAACAAGGCTCCTTGTTGATTAAGCTTTTAACAGGGAATTTTGTGAGTTAACTGAAATAATGCCATGTTGTTTTGTTATGAGCATTTATTATGTATGCCTGTGTCCTTCCTGTTTATTACTGCATTAAATTCTTAGTTCTAAGAGCTGGGTGAGATAAAAATTATGTATTGGGGTAAGGCTTTTCCTTATTTCTGACTGGCCCCTGCACTTTGTTAGGCTGCATGAATCAGTGGGGTTTTAACTGCTTCAGGGTTTAAGCTGAAGTGAAGCTTAGTTAATTTCAGCAAAGCACTGTATATGGTTACTAGCCCTACATTAGGATGAAGATTTGAAAGAGTACTGCTTAGTGCTGTTGGATGCAATTTCTAGCTTGCACTATTTTTAGGGGGGGAGTTTTGCAACTCCCCACAAGCAAACAAACGTGGTTGGTTGCTGTTGAGGCTCACTGATGGCACACAGAAACATATGCACGTGCTCTCCGCCTACAGAATTACGGAAGGGTTGTGTCTTGTGCAGCCCTTGTTTCGACAGATTTAAGTGAAACTAGTGTAAAAAGAGTCCGCTGGGAAAGTTGGGAAGTCTTGGGAAGACCAGAATCTTAAAGTGGGATTTGTAACATCCGCAAGTTTCTGGTACCCCGTCCTTCCTGTTGGTTTTTGTGCAGAAGCTGTGTATCCTGCCGTGTGCCAGTGGAGGCCACAGTCACTACAGTTGCTGAGCAGTCAGTAGCCTCAGCAGTTTCATTTCCTCTAGACCACCCTTTCTAAGCGAGGTGAATTTTTGGCAGGCCGTACAAGGAAAAGATTGGGTCACTGAGACAGTTCTAGAGAAAGCCAGAGGGACAAAACCAGGGTGCAAGGAAGCTGAGGGAAATTAGAGAGACTGTAATTTAACGAAAGGACAAGAATATTTCCATGAAGGGTAAGAAAGGAAGAAATCAAAAGTAAAACTTACAGAGACACAATGGTACCGGAAGGGGTGGTCCTTTAAACTGCTGTATGAAGGGCGAGGCCACAATCAAGTATTTGTCGCACAGTGCAGATCACGGCAACTGAACTCTTGATTCAGGTAAGACACAGAAGAACTAATCCAGGGAAAAAGTTGCTGAGACTTGAGATGACATGGAGATAGACATATTTTGGACCTGAAGATGAAATCATACTTGTGGTGGCCCTTTGGGTAAAGGCACAACTCGTGCCAGTGAAACAAGTCGGACGGGTTTTCTGATCTGTTACTACCCTATGCCTTTTGGAAGGAATTTGTATGCCTCATTCTGTCAAAAGGTATGTTATCATTTTCAGTTTGTAAAGGTAGATAGGTTGAAATCAATGAATGACCGTCTTCATTGCAAAATTTTAACAAATTCTGGCTCTCCTAACTGTCCATCTTCATAATGCTGACTTCACAATTTTCTGGGAACCTGGTAGCCCTACTTACCACTGTTCACCTATTTCATGCTGCATGGAAGAGACTGGTAACTAGCATGTTGGGAACCTTTCCACTTCAGAGGGTGAAAATGTCAGAAGTTAATTCTTGCTTAAATTCTCCTGTAAATGGGGAAGTATATTACATAAATAATTTCAAAAGAATGTTTAGTTGTTGAGTCCCCTGTATTTACTGAGTACTGCTACTGAATTTGGTGCTAAAAGTTGACTCTTTTTTATTTGGGAAATAATTTTCCTGTTGAAAATAGGCTAGGGTGAATTGGAGAGGGATTTCAGAGAAAGGAGGTAACTCATGGCAGATCTGGTGACACAGCAGGACAGTGGGTCTGAGACTTTTAAAATTAAAAGATATAATTGATTCACCCGTCCCTCACTGTCTCTTAATCAGGGTTTTTATAAGAGAACGAAAGTACTGAGCTGTGCTAGAAAGCACCAGCTATGCTGCTTAGTGTGTCCCCCTTAAAACAAAAGCAAAACCTGATTACTGTTGTGGCTTACTTACAATTTTTTTCTCACAAGTTCTGCCATAATCAATTTTCTGAAACTGGAGTTGTGATAGGTGGAGTAGGATAGATGTGGTTTGTGACTGCTGCTTTATGACCAGTTTATTTAACATACTTCTTGTAAGTCATGTGACAATATAGATATCGTACAACAGTACTTTTCCTGGAACTTTAGAGACTATGCCTGTCTCACTTTTTTCAGAGTTGTTCCAGCACTCCTCCAGCCTGTCCTCCCATGTAAGTGATGTAAAATTACTATTATTATTCAGTTTGCATGTTGTATCAGTTGTGTCTTCAATTTAGTAAAGTGGGAGAAAAAGAAAGTGGCAGTTAAACACTGTTTTGGTTGTCCTCCCTGTAATTACAGACAAGCTTAAACGTAGTATATAGGTGGCACATGTGTTCTAACTGCAATAATTGGATGGATTTGAAACTTACAGCCTTTGAGAAATAAAAATGGAAATTCCCTTTACAAGAAAGATTTTCTTTTGTAAGCATATACCTTGTATCTTAAACAAAAAGCATGATTTATGTGAGAAAGAAGATAATTGCCTAACTAGCTACCAAGAAAGTACACTTCTCTTTCCTGTGTGAATACAGAAATACAAAGTCAGATCTGCAATCATAAAATTGTGAGTAGCACGATTCAGATACTAGTGGTTTTGTGGTGATATGGGCTGAATGGTGTGGATTCTAGTCTGTTTAAGAGTTCAGTTTGACTGGATTTAAAGAAAACGGTGTTTGGGGGCAGAGAGTGAATCGTGTGTGCTGTTACAACATGTTTTGCTGTTTTATCATCGTTTTGGAAGACAAAGGTTTAAGATTCAGTTGTACATTCATTCTTGCTAACCAACAGAATGCTGACCAAGAGCATGCCACAAAAAGCTGTTTTGCTGTAGAGTGATCCTTGAAGGAGAGCGGAATACAATTGTCTTCTAATTATTATTACCAGTTAGTCAGCTGGGCTACCTTGGAGTTACCAGCCCTGGTATGGAAACATTTGCAGTAGCAATAGGATTAAATGGATTGCATAGTATTCCAGTAGTGTAGGAGTAGAAAGTTTTCATTTGCCCTTGTCAACTTTTCTGTCTCCCAGCGACAGTGTCTCTCAATGGGACAAGAGACCTCTTCTGAAGGCATTTCTATTGAGTTTCTCTTCAGAGATTCCCAGGTGTCTCATATCTAAGGCAGAGAGAATAAAGTGGTACATGGTTCTCTTACTAGAGGGAAGTGGAGGCAGGTCCTTTAAGTATCAGCTGTAGAGAACCAGGTTTCTCTCAGCCTTTCTGAGTATTGCTTCAGGAGAGGTGTGATTGGAGGAGAGGGGCTGTGGAGGTGGCACAGCGCTGTTCTGGGCCAACTCCCTGCTCCACCCTGAGACTCGTGCCCAGTCACCCACCCCAGCTCACTTCCTGGGGAAGGGCTGGCTGCACACACAGGCACAAAGTGCTCAAAAAGTCCAATTTAGATAAGAGGCATGCACCAGGTTAACTATAACAGGGTGTGGATTGAGCCCCCCCTCTCTCTTTTTTCCTCTCTTTTCTCTGGCTCTCTTTCCCCAGCTCCACACCATCCACGTGGCAGCACCAGTGCAGGATCTAAGGACTGGTGATATTCTTTGTTTTCTATTCTATCACATTCTACCCCATACTCAATTTTGAAGTTTGTTGTGGGAAGAGGGAGGTGTTTGTTCCTTGTGAGCCAGTACCTTTGTGGTTTGTGAGCCAGCACCTTTGAGTGGTGGTTCCCGCAGCTAAAACAGTGAGTTCCTGACACGTCTCTGGTATCTTTGTTCAGCCTGACAAGAATTTATAACAAACATCACACCCCTACCACTGGGTTGTGACACCAGCAGAGGCAGGTCCTTTAAGTGTCAAGGTGAGATAGTTGCAAGGCTTGCAGTTGGTATTTTCTAACTTTCTCTTGTGCTAAAAGTTGAATCCATAAGCCAAGTTTAATATTTCTAAAGCTGATAGAGGAAGTGGAGGGGAAGAGAGGTGGTATTTCATGCTCAGTGAAACAGAGGTAATTTTATAAGAATTCTTCTGGCCTTTTTAAAAGGGTTGACATGATCTGTATTTAATACTACAAATTGATTGAGAGCTGGGAACTGAGTTTTATTTGATGTAGGTAAACCAAAACAGGAGGAGATGTTTTGGGTATGCTGACCATCATCAGAAGAGGTAAAAAGAAAGGAGAAGCCAGATAGCTTAGAGCAGTTCTACTCCTGTGGACTCTTTAGCTTTGTTACCATGTAAAACCTTTGTTATGGTGTAAAACTTGGCAGTCTCATTTATTACATAGTCTATATTTCAGATTGGCAAGTGGCTATTGCTCCCAAATGTGATCAAATATCAAAAACCCCCAAAGCCCAAACAAAAACAGCAGCAGCCTGCCAGGATTGTACTTCCTGTACATTGGTACTTCCTACTGCCTAGACACACCATAGGAAGCAAGAACAATCCATGACTTTCTCTGTTACTGTCACGTAGTACAGAGGTTTTAATACTCCTTGTTAAGTCCAAAAGAGCAAAGCATCAAAGCTATAATAGCAAAGGCAGCCTCTCTCTACTGAAGTACTTCTGATTGCATTATTTTGGGCTATTCTACATGGTGTGATACCTTTTATATAAATCAATGTTATTGCACTACTGTCACTGACAAATGAAATCAACTGCTGTTTGTATTTAGATCCAAATCCTGATGTGAAATGAGTACAGACTTCCACAAACTCCTTTTTGAAGTTTCCGAGGCTTTGGTCACAGATGAACTGGTGGCACTGAAGTTCCTCAGCCTGGATCACATTCCCATGAGGAAGCTGGAAGCCATCCAGGAGCCCAAGGCCTTCTTCGAAGTGCTGCAGGAGAAAGACATGATTGAGTCAGGGAACCTGGCCTTTCTTAGGGAGCTGCTCTACTGGATCGGTCGGATGGACCTCCTGTCTACCCACCTGGATTCCAGCCGGGAGCAGATGGAGAGAGAGCTGCAGGTCCAAGGCAGGGCAAAGGTGTCATCTTACAGGTAAGCAGAGAAACAGTAACACAAAATGTTGCACACAAAATGTACAACAGTTCAGTTGTGTAGTGTCTTGTTTTCTGTCTGCACTGTTGTCTTATGAATATCCCAGCATAATTGTATTTATTACAGCATGAATTCCTCCCATAGCAAGTTTTACATTTTGCAATTCAAATGTGTAATTGTGGTGTTTACTTCTTATAACTTTCTTGAACAGTCTCTCTATTCTTTATTGTCAGGCAACTGCTATATGGAATTGCAGAGGACTTGACTCCAGAAGATGTCAAAAATGTGAAGTTCCTGCTCCAAAAAAAATTACCTAAGAACAAGCTCCAGGATAATGCTGTATGAAAAGTGATCTTGAGAAGTTTTGCAAGGCTAGTTCAGAGTGTGCTAGTTCTTGTAGGAAGGGAGGAAAGAGCAAGCAGTCTGCTCTCATGAAAATCTGTTGTTGAAAGAATTGTGATGTGCTGTGAAAGAATGGACCCTTATTTTCTTCATGGTATCTTTTCTCTGCCCTTTTTTGCTGTCCTTGTCTTATTTTCTCTCTACCACCTGTCTCCCTAATCTTTTCTTCTTGCAAAATCCATCAAGCTCTTCCTTTAATCTTTGCTTGATATTTATAAGACATTTATAAGGCATTTACTGTATCTAAGAAGAGTGATGTTTGCTAAAGGAAAAACAATGTTTCGGAGACAGAAAATTGAGCTCTAGTGTGAGTTCGACCACAAATTTTTGTATGTCATTGAGTAAATTTTCTTCTTTATTGTAATTTGGAGTAATGGCATTTTGTTAACTTCTCCTCAAAGGTATTAAGAGTTTTAATGAGCTAGTTTAACACTTGTAAATAATGAACAGTGTTATAAAAATGCCTGGTATTAGTAAGGAGCTTTTTTAAAAAACCTATTTGTGTATTGTGGCACCTAGAGGAATACTAGCAGATTTACTTCCAACTTTGTGCACTGTTGAGCTTTAATAAACAAAATTAGCCCTGAACACCTTTTCTGTAACAGAAAATGTAAAATGGCATAGCTAAAGGACTTAACAGCCCTTCATCAGAACACAAAGGCCCGACAGGATGCCATGTTGTTACCCACATCGGGTGCTTTGTGCAGCTGAAACAAAGCAGGATAACCCAGCCATTGGCAATTTCTATTCACCCTGTCCTAACCTTAGTGATGCATTTATTCAGTTGCATCATGATCCTTCTTTTAATGAGGTTTGGAGGAAAAAGTAGTTGTTCTTTAGCTGGTCAGTCTCTGTGAGTGAGGATGTTGTCTTGTGCTCTGTCCAGAGGTGCCTGCAGTTACTGAGTTTGGGTTATGTGTTCTTGTTCTACCAGTCAATGTTGCAGGTTTTTCTGGAAATGGAAAGAAATAGGATAATTAAAGAAGATGACCTGACAACGCTGAAAGATATATTAAAGCCATTTAGAGCTGACATAAAGAAAAAAATTGATATCTATGAAGAAAAAAAGAAAGGTAAATTTATTTAATCTGCTGTTTAATGATAGAGCTGGGGTCTTTTGTGGGTTTTTTGGCTCCATCGTTGACAGCTTAGAAGTCTAAAGATGAGAGGGAGACCTTACAGTATCCTGGGACAGGCAGAGCGCCTCTAGAAACCTCTGGTTTCTGAAGTTTTCTGCTACTTCATTATCCCATCATAACCTTCTTGTATCTGTCCTTGAAACATGTTCTGTGCCTTGTAAATGGTCTTCTTCTCCCTCCTCTTTGCCTTAAATGCAATTTATCTGTTCAGGAAAAAGTGCAGTGCTGGTTTCGGACCAGCATAGCTTTTCAGTCACTGAAAGAGACTGGCAGTGACAGTTGACTTAGGGAAACTTGTACTGGGAGATTGTCAGCACTACCTTCTGTTAGCCAGGATGTTTGTTCTTAGTCAAAGTCCCTGAAGACCCGGTACTTGGCTAAAGTGTAGCTTTCTGTAACCAGATGGGAAATTTCGAGGACTTCAGTATATCTGGACTGTTGCATCTGAGGTGGTGCCTTCTGACACCACAACCGGGCCTTACTCTTTGGAAAACAGGATGTCTCACTCAGTAGCAACTGAGACCTATTTTCCTCATAACTTCCTTTTGAATGATTCAGGACATGAGTCTTCTTAGACACATTTATACAGCCCGTACATTCCCTGCAGAGCTGCAGAGTAGTTTCCCCTGCATGGCTTTGTGCTGCTGACCTCTACTGTTGTCTCTAAAAGAGCAGAAGAAAATTGCCAAGGGCGGTTAGAGTAATTAAGTCCTGTGCCAGGGAATGGCTTTTTAGTAGTGTTGTTACTATTTTGTCCCCCTTGATAAGTAGAAAAAGAGCATGTCGTGTGGATCTTGTTGCCTTGACAATTAAATTTCATTTAAACATATCTGTGTAACTTGTTAAAGGGGCACTGTGATTTAGTTTCTTGGGTAGAGTCATGGATTTGATGATTTCTTAAAATTTTTTCAGAAAGTTGTATTCAAATTAGTGTTTTGTTGCTTTGAGGAGATCTTCCGTTATGTTGGCATTTTGCATCACCCAAACAGTAAATCCTAAAACATTCTGTTTATCTTTTCCTTCTAAGAAAATTATTCTAAAGAAGAACTCCACTATCCTGTGTCTGTTTCTCTGCATCCAGGGGAACAAGGAGCAGAGGGGAAGACAACACACCTGGTGAGAAATACTTGAAGATTACCTTTAAATTATTTATCCAAACTTCCGCGAGAGGGAGCATAAATTCTTAAGACCAAGCAGGTAGAACAGCTGAGAGGGAGGGGTTCTGGCTGTATATGTAGGCCTTGGAACAATTCCTATTTTCCAAACAAGACCAAGACCTCTTCCTTTCTGGGGACAGGACTGTCAGCAACATTTTAAGTAATAAATGAAGCTGTTGTGTGAAGAAAACCTGTCTTAATGATAATGGAGACAGTGACAATTAAGTCCTGGATGGGACATTCCTGGACAGATGGGAAGAGAACAGCAGAACTTGCTACCTTGCTAGAATCCCACAAGGACCACTAGAGGGTAGAGTGCAGGAATTTTTCCTCTGCACATGCAAACTTGTGTTTCTGAATACTCACTTGCTCCCATATCAAAATTGCATGCTCACCACAGAGAGAGTGGAGGAGGGATTCAGGGAGACAATGCAAATTCCTCTCCTCTGTAGCTAGATTGTATTCTTAGGCTTTTCCTTTCTTGTTTCTCAGCCCTTGCAATTTTTGTCCTTGGGTAATGAAGGACCAATAATCTGTGTATAGTGTATTTCTCTTTTGAATGCTTGGCATTGCTTTCTTACCTGATTTTTTTGTTTCCACAGCCTGTGGAAACATATAAGATGAAAAATAACCCCCGTGGTTACTGTGTGATTCTTAACAACCACATTTTTAACAATCCGCATTGCAACAGAAAAGGAACAGTGAAAGATGGAGGTAAGTACTTTTTAATCCAATTACTGATTTGCTTTTTTTCTCTAATAATTCTCCAAGACAATTATCTAATCTTTCCTGTGAGGAAGAATCATGTCCACTGTACTCCTTGGCCTTCAGAGTAACTGCAGGGGCAGTCACTGTAGAAATTGGAAATATGCCACTTCCAACAGTTTAGCCGGTGGCTTAAAGAAGGATCTGCTTTTTGTTGTAGGTAAAAAGCATTTGGTTATATCTACCAAGTAGTGAAGGAGGGATTACTGTTCCACCTTTTCACTTTTTGATTGTTTTTAATTCTTAGCTATCATAGAAAAATATTTTTAAGTCCTTAAATTATTTTCAAAGATCAAAGAAATGCTCTGTAATTTTCCTTAAAGCCTGTCTTCCTGCAAGTCACTTTTAAGATAAGAGTTTATCTTAAAAAAGTAAAATCTGTTTCATGAAAGGACACATCAAGGATATTAACTCCATCCAGCCCGTGTACAGGCTTCTTCCTTCCCAGCTTCTTTCTCACAGCTCACACAACAATTAAGTCACCATTTGCTGAGAAGTCTTCAGAGCATTTGTGAGCAGGTTACTCTGCCTTCCTTCTTGCTGCATTGATAATTTTCGCAGAATGAGAGACCTATTTAGTTTGAGGGTGGCAGATTTTGTCATTCTAAAGAGGTGGTACTTCTTTAACTTGGCGTGTTGTTCTTAGGCATCTGAGGTTGTTATGCAACACACAGTTAAAGCTTGCTTTAACACAGTGAACTTCACTAACTCGTACCTATACACCATTATAATCTGAAACCTGTTTTTGTTTTAGATAGCATGGTACTTAACCCAGCTGTGTTTAAAAAGATAAAATGAGGCAAATTAGGCATGGGTTTTTCTAATAGTATTTGGCAGGCTAAGAGTCAGTCCAGGTGAGTTTATGGGTGGTATCTGAACACTTCTGCTAATATCTGATCTGCCACACAGACACTGATGTTTCTGCATCTTTCTTGTCACTGTTTATGTTTAACGAGTTCCTTCTGACTTTTTTTCCCAGAGGCTGTGAAGAGGGTCTTTAAGTGGCTTCAGTTTGAGACAATTGAGCACATGGATCTGGAAGCAAAAGAAATATATGAGAAAGTTAAAGAATACAGCAAAAGAGATCATAGAAACATGGACTGTTTTGTTTGCTTCATTTTTTCCCATGGTGAAAAACACAAAATAAAAGGCATTGATGATGAGTTAGTAAATATTAGAGATTTAGTCTCCTGCTTCAGTGGATCTAATTGTCCCTCTCTTGCTGGCAAACCCAAGGTGTTTTTCATCCAGGCTTGCCAAGGCTCTGTTGGTCATCCAGCTGTTCCAGTAGAATCAGACTTTTCTGGACATCTTGGGACGGATGCTACTCCTCTGACTTCCATTCCTGATCTGGCTGATATTCTGGTTGGCATGTCTACAGTGGAAGACTATTTGTCCTTCCGGAGTAGTGAGACTGGCAGTGTTTACATTCAATGCCTCTGTGACAAGATGGAGTCGCTTTGCCCACTGTAAGTACTGTTTTTAATTCTTGTACATTTGGGGTATTGCAGACATACATACTGGAGCATGCTGTGCTGAAACATCAGTGTTTTGCATTTTTGCTGTATAACGTTTTTCACCTGCAGGACAGCGGAGAATAGTAATTATTTTGGAATTGGGCATTGTTATTCTTCTACGGATGAGCCAAAGTATAGATGACTTCCTTGTGACAAAACCAGGGTTGTAATGCTGAAGCATTACACAAAAACAAGTGTGTGTATGTGTGTTTTTTAACATTTTTTGACTGATAAATGATTTTTCTTCCAGTGACACTTGATAAAAGTGAATTTGTTGAGTGATTGCACAGACAATCAGTGTTCTTTAGTCATAATTTTCATTGTTGCCTTCCTCCCATCCTCTCATAAATTTGATTTAGAACATAGAATTTCCCTTCAGACATCACTCTCTCATGATGTCCAGAAGAAGACATGCAGAATGTATAGGTTTGGCCCTGTTTCATCTTGGTGTTCTCTTCTGACTATAACTAAAGCAGGAGACTGTGTTTGCTGGTAAAGCAATGCTACAGGGAGGTTGCTTTTATTCCCTCAAACATACTGAATCCTGCTGTTATACAATGGAGTGTGCAATTTCAGTGACAGGTAGGGTGGGGCAGGATTCCAGTCATCCCAGAGATATCACTTTATTGGAGCAAACATAGATCACCTTATTGGCTGAACTGCAAGTACCACGTATTTCAATGTGACTTTTCTTCATTTTTGTTCAAGCCGCATCGATCTCCTAACCATCCTGACTACAGTGAACAAGGAAGTGGGAGGAAAAGAATTTAAAGTATGGAATCAGATGCCAGGAGGAAAATTAGAGAAGCAGATGCCACAGATAATAACAACGCTACGGAAGCAACTGATCTTCGAAATTCCACAAGGACAGTCAAGTAAAAAGTAGAAAAATAAGAATGCAATCAGTTTAGGCTTCCACAGGGAAGAGACTTTACATGAGAAATTATCTAGATCTGTGCAGTTAGCCCCAGTCCTTGAAGGACCCATAGGACCTAAATTTTAAAATTTCTATATTTAATCAGTCTTCTGCCACCTGGATCTGTGGCAGTTGGGTAGGGCTGTGGAAGAGTACAGATCTGGCTTTTTGTCCTGCAGAAGCAGTGGAGTATATTCGGTCTGGGTTTCAGGTGAGGAAGCGTGTGTAGGGTTGTAACTGCCTTACCCAGAGGTCTATCTTTGGAAGCTATAATTTTTCATGGAAAATAACATCCTGATCCAGAAGGACCAAAAAAACCATGATTATGATAATACAGTGGTTCTTTTCCTCCAGATATTTAGTTTGGTTTATGTTATTAATTTACTTGGCTAAGCAGCATTTTGATGTAAGCTTTTTAACAGTAAAGGTTCTAATTGGATTTTTTCTCAGCACTTCCAGGGGCCAGTGTGTCATGAATAGCTGTGGAACACTGGAAGGAAGTTCTTTGTACTCTTGTTTCTGTTGTAATAAATTGTCTTGTTTTTTACATCACCTTGGTCTGTGGTGTGTTCCTTTGTTGGATGGACTGTCTAAGGGACAGTCAACATGACAAACACTTTTACCTCAGCAGAAGTCATTTTGCTCTTGTTGGAGTGTTTCATGGGAGCCACCCTAAGGGGTAGCAGATTGATATCTCTTCAACAGCAGGTGGAGAGATGGTAGGAAAGAATAAGTTCAGGACTGTCATGATAATGGCAGCTAATACTAGTGAGGCCATTCTTATCTTGCATCTTCAGCAATGTGTAGGTATTATGTGGGAGCTGTATGGGATTCTAACAGCTAAATCCCTTTTGAGTTTATAAAAAGATAAAGGATGAATTTGAGACATGTGGTAACTTCTGCTTTTTTCAGTTTGGATTTTTTGGAAATCCACGTCTAGCCATAAAGGAGGGCCCTTTATTCAATCCTTCTGGAAGCGAATATTTTTTTCTGATTCCACGCAATGTGTTGGTAGTTGCTTTCTGCTCCCCTTATGCTTTTTCACCTTCCAAGTAAAAGAGAGACTGCCTGTTCTTAGAATTACAGCTCTGTTCACATTGGTTTCATAAATAATAAACAGACATTACAAGCACTATGTAAATGATACTGCAGCAAAAGTTACAAGAAGCTGTTACCAGTTATGGTGCGGTTCTGTGGCTGATACTTGGTTAACCATTTAGGAAATGTGGCAACAATTTATTTACATTTTTTATAATGTTTTCATCAGTGCGACCCTGATATGAAGTTAGATTAGATTAGTGGATGTTGCTTTATGAAAAGGAAATAGATTAAATTAAATAACTTCCCTCTGGGAGAAACTTGCTGAACGGTGGTAGCTGTTCCAGAAGTGAAGTTGTGAATCAATAGCATTTTTATTTCTCATATTTCTCTCTATCAGAGTTCAATACACTCAGACCAAGTCCTTTCAGCTCTTTTATATGAGGAGGAGTTGGATATTAAATTTACTTTTTTGGTATATTTGGTGCTACACAGGATTTTCATTTAGTAGGGTGAGAGAGATACATAGGTATGCTCACCATCATGACATTCGACATCCCCAGTCGTGGTGGAACCTGTGGGTTGAAGCCAGCTCAAGCCCATTGCTCTTTTCAAAGTTTAAGTATTTTTATCAGTTTTCCAGGTCTTATACTTTTATGTTGGGTTGGGTAGAGCCACATATTCACATCCTCCGTGCTCATTTTGCTAGCTCAGGAAGACATTATTCCTCATTAATTGTCTCAGGGTACCTGGTGATTCCCAGGTGTAGATGTCTTCTCTAAAAGTAAGGTTACCCTCCCATCTCCCTGATGTTGAGGTAAATGGAACTTTCTTTATGATCTGTCTTCCCTGAGATCATATGTTTTTTGCCCTTTGCCTTTTTGCCCTCTGAGCTGTCTCCACTGTGTGTGTGTGGGGGGGTGCTGGTCAGTCACACCCTGTCATTAAATTGGCTTGGTGTTTTATTATACCTGTTAGAATCAGGCCACTTTTATAGTTACCATTATCTCTTGCTGATGAAAAAGAAAGAGAAAACCTGTCAAAGTGCCCTAAAGGACTGCAGAAAACAGCCATACTGTGAACTTATATGTGGCTCATGCAGCTACTGGGGAAGGAGAAAACACATTTTGAGTTTTATGGTTCTCAGCAAAGTATGCTCACACACACACCTGCAGCAGGGTGGCTCTTGCAGTGAGTGGTAAGAAGAAAGTTGGTTCTGCAATTTCCTAACTCTGATTTTCCTCTGTAGCACAGTTTACAGAATAGTGAGAGACAATTTCCTTTCCCCTCTAAAGGCCCTCAGCTTTGTTTTTTACTTTGCCTGTCCTTCCTTTTCTTTCCTCCCAACTCATGTCTGGGAGGCCAAATGTTGTCACCAAATAATCCTGGCACTTAATTTTGTGTTTTGTTTTTAGGCAGCCGAAGCA